CCCTTCACTGCAAAGCAGCCACTCAACAAATGCTTGATTACATACATTAACTCACCACCACAAACCCTTCTGCTTGCCTTTAATCATTTGAATATTACCCACGGTACGATTCAGACAGCCTGACGGCAAGCGGCTTTCCGCAAAGATGACATTATAAGGTTGTTTTAGCTATTAGCAGACCAAATAAGTCACAGGATCTTGACGTTACAGCAAAGAAAAATTTAAGTCACAGCAAAGAAAAACTGAGAAAAAGTGAAATGATTTGCAGCAGGACTGTAAATCTCAGTTCCTGGCTTGTGCTTAAAATGCTGGATTACACCTGAATTCATCTCATTTCACTGGCCAAAGTTTTTACTTAACAGATGTTTATTATCTGTACTATTTATGCCAAGTCAGCTTCTCCCAAGTGAAGGTAGTGTATTATGCTGCCAGGAGAGGATGCAGTAAAAATACCTGCACCCACATACATTCCTAAAACGCATTTCCCTGCGATATAAGAGAGCTGCATACTCTTTAACAGATCACATTTTAAGAAGTGCTCCAATAATGTCCACCAGGCTTTTTAAAGAATAAAGTTGATCGGATTCTGATTCCTTGAATCAGACCAGCAGACAGTGAATTTCACCAAAAACATTCCCATAGTATTTCTCTCACTGCTTTCCAAATACAGGTTGGTATGTTACAGCGTATATATATGGAATTTAAACCAAAAAGGTCTTGAAGTTCATGTTATTTATCAGCAGAAGATGCCTTGCAAAGTCTGAAGGAAAGCCCTTCTAAGTTTCAGCATTTTACAAAATCCGCACCTGACAACAGTCACCAGAAGGTGTGTGTGATCTGACCTGGATCATAACACACTGTCTATGAATTCCTGATTGCCGTGCCAGTCAATGTCCCTGTATTTCAATTTACCACAAGCACACGGCCCTTTGAAAAGGTAAATGCAGTCTCAGTGATGGAAAAGGGTTTCCCCACAAGTGTATAAAACCACCATGTTTCATGCTGCGAATGAAAAGACAAAAAATACTTTTAAGGCATTCCCAGTACAGAAACGCAAACCTGAATTTCACTGGCACGCACGATTAAATGCTTCTCTCACACTAAATTTCAATAATACCTAAAATGTCACTGGAAACGTTGGGGAAAAGGCTGGCGGGCAATAACAAAGCATGCTGGTACCAGAGCTCACATCACCAGCCAGCACTGAGAAGACTAAAAACTAGCCACATGTACTGACTAGTCTTCTGCATACAAAGCTGACTAATTAACCCAACTAAGCTGAGAAAATGTGCCTCACACATGGTTTTAAAAGACATTTCATTGTAGCTAAAGCCTCTTTCTTCACCAGCCACAAACAACAACCGAAGATCCTGGTCACAATCAATTAATAAGGGGCAAATCAAAGAGACCCAACAGTCCTGCCCTGCATCAAGTCTAATTATAAAGTTCAAGTGGTAAAAAAGGCAAAATTAATTACAAGCCCAATGCTCTGCTTATGTTTTAACATACAGTATTGTGCAAAAGTCTTAGGCAGGTAAAGAAAATGTTTAAAACTATTAACTATCCGGATAATAAGAATGCATTTGCTCAAAAAACACACATAGACACGATTTAATGTTAGAATACATGCAAATGAACATACTGCGGATAACACAATAAACAATAAGATAAAATAAGAAGAAGAAAAATAACTTTTTTTTTGTTCTCCAGGTAGCTAATGATATCCAGTTGGACGGCTAGATGAACACCGCTTCCGGTCCCGATCCTTTCCTCAAGGGTACTGCAGCCATTACATGTATTTGTTACATTTCGCCACCAGCTCATTTAATTAATTAACTTAATTAGTTAAATGATTTGATGAGGGATTGATTAGCCAAACAAGATCCGCTAATGGTCGCGTCAACAAATACATCGGAATATTAGATGGTTACTGGAAAAAAATGGGGTGATTTTAGGAGAGGTTTTGAAATGGCTAAGCTAAGGTACTTTGAGAGATATAATATCATAGTTTTACACCAGCATTAGGCTTATTTAATGGTACTTTTTGACTGCCAAAGACCTTTGCACATTACTGTACGTATATCCAGACACACCCTTCCAATACTGCGTTGTGGTGGCCTGGAGCCCATCCCAGGCAGCATGGAGCAGACCCTGGACAGGATGTCAGTACACTGCAGGACACATGCATGCACACACTTAAAAACTCTAAACAAATCAGAATTCCTGGTTCACCTAACTGCATGTGTTTGTACTGTGGGAGGAAACTGGAATAGCTGAAAAACACCCACCCAACACAGAGACAGCATACAAACCCCACACACTCAGCCGGTGGGATTCGAACCCCAAACCTAGTGGGGTGACACTACACACCGAACCACAGTTTTGCCTTATATATGCAGCAGAATTAACAATACTTCACTCATCTTTCAGAATTTCATAATATGAATCAGGACAAAGTAACTGTTTTTTGTTTCATAAAATTTTTTTACAGTCTGTGAGCTTGAATTCCCTGTTCACACATTGAATGAGAAATACCTTTTTAATGCTGTAGGATAAACCCCCTCCCCCCCCCTCCCAGGGATCTATAAAGGTATATCTAGTCTTTACATGTAAAGAGTTACAGCAATATTCTTCCACCGTTTTACTTTGAAGGATATGCAGAATGTCTCCAAAATGCTGTAATAAAATCAAACTGTGCAGTGCTGCATCTAATCCTGCTTTGCATAAAAAAACAGCCCAGACAGTAAAATTCCAAAAATGGCTAAAAGCATCTTACAGCAAGAGGGCTGTCACAAATTTTTAGAATCACAAGGAAAGGAAAAGCTGACGGGCTTCCTCCTAACAGCAGCCCGCGCCGAAGCTCGCTGGCGCATTAATGTGTGATGGTGCACATTACAAACTGCGTTCATATTAAGGTCAGCCCCGGAGCAGCAGTCATTCTCCATCTGATACTGGATGAGGAAGGTGCAGTAAAAGGGAAGAACCAAGTAATCTCACAGCCAGAACCTCAGAGAAATTAACTTTCCATTTTCTCAACATAAGATGCTGTAAAACAGCTAGACTCAAGTAAGTTACATACATATGACTTTAGGATAAAATAATAATCCAGTATATCTATACTGCTATAAAAAGCATAAAATAAGCAGGTGACTAGATTACAAACAGTATTAAAATGATATGTCTAAAAGATTTTATTTCAAAATAATGCTTTATGCACATACATAAAACAACACAGATGAGTGTAAGGAGACACTTTTCCCAAAGTTCTGTCATTTGGAGGTAAACTCGCTTAAAGTAACCACAATGCCCAGTGGCTTAACAGGGGCAGCTTCTCCCAAAGCCTATATTGCATTCCATAAATATCCCGGATTAATACGTATCTGTGCGATTAATCCACTTAAAAGACTAACATACTGTGCATAGGAAGCAACAGAATTTATCGAGCTCGGGATAAAAAAAAATTCAAACAACAAAATTTCAGCATTGAAGTACACCATTAATATAATATAATAAATTAAATACATATTTAGGGCGCTCGCAGTCGCTTGTTCTTCCTGTTCCCATAATTACTTGAAAGTGCCATCTGAAAAGCAGTTTGTAAATTTTCATGTTCTAGATAAACCAGAGATGGATGATATACGCAAGACCGAACACGTACGTACTACTGCCTTATAGTAAGATGACAATTTTCCCGTAGGCCTATTATTATTAATGTGTTGCGTAAGAATCTGAAATGATCACAGCCAAAAATATATTTCCAAGATGTCAATGTGCCCCGGGTTGCCGCTCACACTGCTGCAATACCAGTGCTTCCAGTTGCCGATGTTTCTGTAACGGGAACTTGCCATTAATATTGAAGATATATGCTGACACTTGGGGGGATGATCGTTTGCGATCGAAAGATATTGGCATTTTCAGTAACAGATATAAGAGGTTTATTTCACAACATTTGCCAGCACTCGCAAAGAAAGCGTTTTATATATTTGTCACCAACAAAACCCCTCAACTTCATCTTAAGGCGCGACATTAATTATATAAACATCAATACCTCCACAAACAATACAGCATAGAAATAATCATAAATATGAAGATTAAATAAAAAGTGCCAGCTTAACATATTACAATTCCTAGTTAATTATTTTGGCTGAGCATAAAGAGGTCCGTGTTTACAGTGTGTTGAAATTTCTTCAAGAATAATCATAGCGATATAATACTGTGTTGTTTACAAAGCCATATTACTAGAGCAGGAAATGTAAATAGAGTAAACACCACTGAGATTAAGGAATCACATTAAGTGGGTGCCTTACTGTCCTCGACATTGAGTCGCACATCACACACTGTACGTGGCCAAATACGTTAAAATAAGGGGTGGAACTACATCGGTATGATTTGTAGTTACTTTTAAGGATGACAAATAACTGTCAAAATACGGACGCTATGTTATTTCTTACTGCTCAGTGTCTTATGCTGAGGATCTACTGTATACAAATCATTGGAGACGTGTTATTTGCCATACCACCTTTCAATCACTAATGCATGCAAAGCAATTCATTCAAATGCCATGTGATGCAATTTACTCCAAATCAGTTCAGGACCTATACAAGGCAAATGGCAACAGCAAAATCCCATCTGAGTGCGCCTAGATGTTTTCCGTTTTCAAACTTGGCACTAATATGTCCTTCTTAGTGCGCAGCTTCTGAATTTTAAATATCAAATAAGGCTCAAGTAACTAATGGATGAGACCCGGACCTTTGGGTACTGCCAGGCTGGTGAAGGGGATCTGGGCTTCGTCTCACTCACTTCCCTCGTTCGCTGTATTGCACGTTTTGTTGGCGCTATTAAAGATTTCTTGCCTGAATCCCATATCATGTCCGCTTTTATGTATTGACAAGATCCACAACGATCCTGTCAATTATAATCATCGACACTTACCTCTTCGCAGGTGAACTTTCACAACATTTGAAATAATAACGTAGCCGTACTAATCAGAAGTGACTTACTTTTCTTGAATCACATTTTCCTTAATGGCAACTAACGTAGGGTGACCGGCGCCCGGCTGCAGCCTGCAGGCAGCCAGGTGCCGCTGATGCTGCTCCTTCAAGCAGACATTCTCCGTGCACAGATCGGCCACTTGCTGCTCCAGCTCTTCGATGCGGCTCCTCTGCTTCTCCAGCAACTCCTGCTGCGTCTCTATGATCTTATTGAGCTCCTTCAGATACTCCGCCGCCTTGCTCGGGTTTTCCGTAGCATTTTCCATCTCGGCCGTGCCTCTAGCGCCCGTCCATCCGCAATTCAAACAGCCCGGCGACTTTTACTCTCCGACCCAGTCGCCGTCGAGGTCCAACTCCGCGTATCTCGTCCCCGGCATTTGCTTGGCTTTCGGCGGCGATCCAGATGGGTTGGAAGAAGTTGATCGCACGATTGTCCGCAGCAGCGCGCCGTCCACAGCCTCTGCACCACAATAACTAACCCCTGTAAACCACTCCGAAAGATGGGAAATGCGCTTAACCCTTTCCGGGAAGCGCACTTAAGCCGCACGCTTCTCTCTGCGCGCCGAGAGCCGCCACCGCATCTAAAATCTACTCGCCAGCCTCGAAAACCGTAAACCCCTTTGTTGTTCTACAACTTCTTTTTCTCACAAGCGATAACCTTTGCAACGGTCTCTTGGCCATAAATTTCTGCTACTTATTTTATTTTTTAAAAAAGGCTAATCAACAGGTTCGGTGTGGTTTTGGTTTCCCAATTCTTGCGCACAGCCACTACCCATCGTAGACCTCAGCGCTGGTTTTAATCTGGAAACCAGTGTTGCTTTTGAAAACAAAACATTTAAACGTCGTGAATATTAGAGACAGAAACTTGAGGTTTATTTAAATTATATTTTTACTGTTTGAAATTAACGCGAAAACAGTTCTGTTTGGAGTGTCTCCAAAACGTCATTTTGGCGTAGACATCCTCTTTTTCCCATTGATAAATATCAACTGGTTCATAATCCAATTCTTATGCATCATTCCGTAGAGAAGAAAAACCTTGAATTATTCTGATGACGTATGTTTCAAAGGCCGTTTATTTCCTCCTTACGTCATGTTACCCTGCTAAGTCGTGCTACATCTGCATGTTTTTTCCCCGATTGAACTGCGTGCATTTGAATAAGGAGCTTAACGCTCCTTCTGGGTGATATTTGGTTTAAGTCCTAAGCAATGCACTGCTCATATGCCCTCATGAATGGTGGATAGCCAGGCCTTTCTAAATTAAAATTGTGTCAGATAAGAACACTTGGTTGTTAATTGAAAAGTAAGATGATATGGTTTATTTTTAACCTTTTTTGCTAAAGCCTTTTATAATATAAATAATATTTTATTTATAATCCTCTGTTTTTTGGAATTCAGTGATGTCATTCAGGTCCATACTTCCACAATGCAGAATTCACACACTTGTTTTCACCACAAAAGCAGACTGAGAAACTCCTGTACACACATTCTCCCAGGCAGTCACTAAGGCACACACTATGGCTGTATCACTCACTCGTATCCCTACACCATCCCAGGCAGTCACTAAGGCACACACTACGGCTGTATCACTCACTCGTATCCCTACACCATCCATGGCAGTCACAAAGGCATACACTAAGGCTGTATCACTCACTCGTATCCCTACACCATCCCGGGCAGTCACAAAGGCACACACTACGGCTGTATCACTCACTCGTATCCCTACACCATCCGGGGCAGTCACTAAGGCACACACTACGGCTGTATCACTCACTCGTATCCCTACACCATCCAGGGCAGTCACAAAGGCATACACTACAGTTGTATCACTCACTCGTATCCCTACACCAAGCTTTCATTGCATGTAGCTCATTGAATTCAGATCTGCTTTCTTCATTTCCAAGAAACATATTTTCAATTGCATAGTTCTTACCGAATTATCAAATGGCAGAACGGGATGCAGCGATCGGCTTAAAATAAACAGCTGATTGTGGGTTTGGACCCCCACCCAGTGAGAAAGGAGGGAGCTGCCCTGTGCTTAAAGTTCCTTGATTGACCGGTGAGTGTTTCTGTGCATCTTGGGGTGAAGGAAGTGAGCAGTCATACCAGGCCAGACCAGTTTTGGTCGAGCTCTGTTCATACGGCAGGTCTCCAGCTATTGCTTCTGGAAAGAATTTGCCGAAGATGGAGCAGGGCTCTTGACGCAGCTCTCGAAATGCTGACACAGGGAGCGTGGGAGGAGCTACGGCCCAGAGGCCCGCTCCGAAGGGAGTGCGGTGCAGTCCCTCTACTGCAGGACGGGTCTCCAGAGCCGCTCCATGCTACAGGAGTCAGGCTGATTTGTATTCACATGAGTCGGAGGGGGGGAGGTGAATTCTCCCATGACATCTTTCTAAAAATCAAGTAATTATTCAGGCCCTCCTATATCACCGTAAGTCACAGAGATCTGCTCAGAATTTCGTTTTCTCAGCACTGATATGCTTTTTTTTTTTTTAAAAAAAAAAAGAAGGATTTCATGTTTCTAAAGCAGGGAATCGATATTCTTCTCTTCCCAATAATAACAGTAGCTGATATCCTCATACAGGAGGATTATCTTAGGTGGCTTAGCTTTAATGGGAGGGGGATATTTCTTCCAAACACATCTACCCATAATAAACATATTCCTAATACACTTTATAATACTGGTAGCTCTTCATTTTGAAAGGCAGGCCAGGGGTATCTTTGAGAATAGCATTTGAAAATGACATTCTTTACTGGTTATACATATTGTATTCCAAGGATTTAGAATTCTCTTGCTAATATTGTGTTCCTAAAATTCATACTGTGTATTCCAATGTTGGAGCTTTGTTAAAAAAGCACTTGAAAAGATGTTTGCCATTGTAAAGAGATGGATTTATCTGCAGCTGTTACGGTCTGAGAACAAACACACTGGCATCCCATCTGAGGTGAACAGTGCGCTCCCTGCTGGTTACCATTGCTTATAACAACACGGAGCCAGTGCAATAAATGGCATGATTGACAGCTATGACTCAGACACTTGGTGTCCGAATTGTACCAACTCTATCAACAGGCTACCCTTTCAGTCTTGACAGCACACACAAATCAAAATGAATATTGAGGGAAAAGTTGCCAGGAAAGTCAGTGCAAGCTGTAACACTCCTATATAAATGTTTTATCTCCATTTTTATTTTTCTATTCCCTGCCAGACAGGGAAAGAAATTAAATATTAGTCTCACATACCTTAAAGCAAATGTTAATGCTGAGAAAATAACAGTAAAATAATGTAAGAGACAGGTAGTGGGTCCAGGAGGGCGAGGCGGAATGATGCTTCTACACCCCGCGAGCAGTCGCTCGTTCTTTAATGCCTTTCTTTAGCATGTTTTGTGAAATGTGGCGCATCTCTAATGAGGCAGAGCAGTAAGATAATGTGCATAAATCACACCGCAGCCTCTGTGATCATGCTGATACAGGCATCATCAAAGCCAGGGGAAGGAGTTAGAGATGCAGACGAGGTCTAACATAGCAGACAAGTGAGCTGGGTTCTCTTATTCCCCCCTTGCCCGCTCTTTCTTTGATCTAAACTTTCTAAGTGGCTTAATGAAGTTCCTGCTGGTGTTTCTGAGCAGCCCAGAATTCTATTCTAGGATTACGAGCAACAAGCAAGCAAGGGCAGAGAAGCAAAATAGTTTTGACTTTAATGAAATTCTTCATTTTGTGATTTGTGCCCAATTAAGAGCCAGTGCTTTTAGTATATGGTACAAGTATAGTCTGTTACAATGCTAATTAATAACTGTGTAAGCACTGAGCCAGTTCACATATGTACAGTAAGGGCATTTGTTGCATATAAGCTGTCCTGTCTTAGAAGCTGCTGATGAGAATACCAGTGCAGGGACCGCCGTAATACCACTAGGTAACAGTGAAATACAATGGAATTCCAGTCCCAAGTTAATTCCCAAAGTCCCAAATAAGGCAGCTGTGTGGTTGTGGCATGCATGTCCTGTGCACTCTGCTTTCCTAACGTAATCCAAATATGCAATCTAGCTAAATTGGTCGCTTTGTAATGGATCGGCAACGTCCCCAAAGTGTACTCCGTCCCAGGCCTGCTTGCTTCCCGGGTTCCTAACTGGATAAGCAGTTATTGGAAATGGAAAGATGGATGCGACTGCGCGGAAGCAGAGCTGGGCAGCCCCCCCTTTGGCGAAAACGAGGGGGAAGAACCCGAAAGGTTTAAAGTTGCTACGTTACATTGGAAGTTATAGGAGGAAGGTTGTTACTGTTCAATCACAACTTCCTCTTTGAGAGGGATTAAAAGGAAGCTCAGCTGTGTACCAAAACAAACGTACCCTGTAAGTAGTGCCAAGAAGACTGCTGGTTAAAGCCTGATTGAATTCTAGAGCTTTACTCTTCTTACTCCGTCCCGTGTTTATTTTTATTTATTTATTTTTTATTAGCCAATCAGGATATGCGATATTGGCTTGTGAACCCCCTGAAACTGAAAGGATGAAATGGCTTCCTGAAGATCCCCTTAGTTAAGGTGAATTAATCAAATCAATTACCGTGAATCAGAGGTGGAAAGTTCAGGTCCAGAAACTACAAATCCAGACCAAGGTGTGACTCTGACTCTTTATACTGGTTGGTTAAAACGAGACCCTGGTCTGGATTTGTAGTTTCTGGACCTAAACTTTCCACCGCTGCCCTGAATATCCTACTTCCAAGAGAATGGATTCTCCTCATAATTTAGTGTTGATTAAGACAGATGCTTACTAGGATTATGGGTTTATAAGGATTTTGACTGAACAGTGATATATATGACTTTGTGGACTGGAACTCTTAGGGTTTGTCATGTCTGACAAAACCATTTTTAGAGTTATCCACAGTAAATGCCCACAAAGCCAAAGTCATCATCACCTATCCGGCAGGTCATGATGAGAAACCAACTGGGGGATTAGACAGTAACACGGGTGGAGGATTGCAGTCAAAGACTTTGTTGGGTAAGATCAGCTCTGCATTGTGAGATAGATGGCTGTCATGGACATTTAGAAAGAGCAATTTGGGCAAATGCTATGAAAAAGGACACAAAGAATGCAATGAGATATTATAGGTGGAATCAGAGGTTGAATGTGAAGTCAAATGTGAGTTTATAATGTCAAAGGAGAGGCCACGTCTTAAGGACAGAAGGAAAGCATGTCCATCAGTCAGGCTTCAAACGCACTTTACGTTCTTCACCCCCCCTCATTAAGCTGGCCGCTTATCAGATTGACCACTTTAATTCTGTGCCAACACCGGCTGAATTACTGTGCTGGCCACTAATGGTTTCACTGGGGGAACATGTGTGGATTGCTGTCTTCAGCTCTAAGAAATTATCTGGCAGCTTCATAAAGCAAATTCTGTCCATTTGCCAGAAAATCATTTCCCAAATTCCCGCGAGCTTCCTACTGTGTGTGCTGAATTACTTCAGCATCGAGGTAATGAAAACCTATTTTGCAGGAATTATTATTAATATTAGTATTCAAAAATCTACTTTGTTTATAGGATTGTTTCAATTTGACCTAAGTGAGCGTACATTCTAATGTCTAATACACACCTTTAAGGCAGGAAGTGTAAAATTATAATCTTATCAGTGCCATACGATCTTTGAGAGAATGGATTTGAGCCTGAAGCTTGATTTGCTGTGTTTCCTCCAACCTGGCTGCTTAGGGGGGAAGAGATGCATTTTTAGAGAAATCACTTCATTCAAATAACCAGTAATTTTTCTGGATTCAGTCTAACTAATG